CCCCCCCCCCCCCCCCCCCCCCCCACACACACACATAGAGCACAAAATCATTTCTAGCCTATGATTCCTGAATGCTTAATGTGTTCCCCTCTGAAACGTAAGGATTTAAGTTGCACGTTGAGTTAGTTTCTTGCTGATAGCTCTCTGAGAATCACACAGAAAGAAGAAGGGGAAAAGCCAGTCTGAACTTCAGAGGCGAGTCTGGCCTGGAGCCTGAGGGCCCCTCGCTTGCCATGGCTGTGGGTGGTAGAATGTTCTAGGTGGCATGGGGAACTTGGGTAACAATCAGGAAGCATTTCGAAGCAGATGGTTCTGATAAGCTGGCCCAAGAGATCTCAAGGGTCAGGCATCTTGGTCTCCACGGCTCTAGTAATTTGTTGCCATTTCCCTTTTGATCTAAGTAATTATTTTTATACCTAATTTTGAATTCAGAGAGCTCCAAAATTGTATGAGCACTCTTATAAAACCTGGGGTCCAAGTCCGCACCACTGGGGTGTCCTACAAGCCCAGTGGCAATGAGAGCTGCAGCAGGGACAAAAGGAAGGAATTGTGTGCAGGTAAACCGCGACCTGTGCTACCTCCACACTCACCTCGGGCTCGGCTACACTGGTCACTGCCGTAAGTTGCAATCTTACTGGATAACAGTGTGAAAAGCAACCAAGTAGCTCTTCATGGCAGAGCTCTTAGCAGACAGGAGTGTGCAGAGCCCAGTGACCTGCAGCCCATGCACCCTGCCTTTCCAATCACAGACCACAGCCAGGAGCTGTCCTGGCTCGCTGAGTGCTGGCCTTCGCCTGCCAGGGATGTTATCACAACAGTGGCCCCAGGCCCCACGGCAAACGCTGCCGCCTTCGGTGGCTCTCCTCTTTGCCTTGAAGCATGAAAGAGGCATAATGCATGGGACCTGCTCTCCCTGAGGAACACCCATCCTCTGGGGAGTTGGGGACACAGAGACTTAACTTACTTGGGTGTTCCTCCAGGGAATGGCACCATGGCACGGACACGAGGTGTAGTGGTGGGCTCGGCAAGAGACAGAGCTCCCCCCAACCTTGCTTAAGCAAAAGAGCAAACTCATTGGCCTGACTAACTGGAAAGTCTAGGAGTGAATTCAAGCTGGCTTTAAGCCAGCTAGATCTAGAGGTTCAAATACCACTGGGAGTCTTTTTCATAACCTCTCAGCTCTGCCTCCCTAAGTTCGCTTCATTCAAGCACAGATGTTCTTGGGATGGGAAAGCCTTTCCCATGAGCATTCCAGGATTAGAGGTCTTCAGGACTGAAGATCTTGGAAGAAGGGTGACACTCCGCAGAAAAGAACCCCAAAGTGACACACTGTCCAGCCTACTGCCCAGGGAGTGGTACCTGGGTGATTGGCACCCTGCTAGATATGAGGAGAGCAGTTCACAAAAGCAAAAAAAAAAAAAAATGCAAGACAAAAAAGTAACATGCTAGTCGCTCACTAGTGCCTTGGATTATTAAGCCTTTTACATCATCTTATCTTCTACAATTACACTGTAAATTCATTAATAGAAGGATATACAAAAACTAGAGGCCCGGTGCACAAAATTCGTGCATGGTAGGGTCCCTAGGCCTGGCCAGTGATCAGGACCGATCAGGGCCTTCCTTCATTCCGCACCGCCCCCTGGTGGTCAGTGCACATCATAGCGAGTGGTCGAACTCCCAAAGGGACACTTTGCATATTAGCCCTTTATATATATACTAGAGGCCCGGTGCACAAAAATTTGTGCACTCAGGGGGGAGGGGGGATCCCTCAGCCCGGCCTGTGCCCTCTCGCAGTCTGGGACCCCTCAGGGGATGACCACCTGCTGGCTTAGGCCCACTCCCCAGGGGATTGGGCCTAAGATGGCAATCAGACATCCCTCTGGCAGCCCGGCAGCCCTCGGGGGATGTCCACTTGCCAGCGGGGAGCAGGCCTAAACTGCAGTCGGACATCCTTAGCACTGCTGAGGAGGCAGGAGAGGCTCCCACCACCACCGCTGTACTGGCAGCCATCAGCCTGGCTTGTGGCTGAGCAGAGCTCCTCCCATGTGAGAGCGCCCTGACCAC